GACTCCATTATGGTCAGAAATCTTAAGCATTATGTTTTCTTTAAGAAATCAGATTGTGTTTATCTTTTAAAAAAAGAAAAAAGAAAACAATTACCCATTGTGGTTTTGATTTGTACCTCCCTTATTATAAGAGATGATGAACACTGTTTTGATATGCTTTCTGACTGTATGTCTTCCTTAGACTGTTATCTGTTGAGTTCATTTGTGCACTTATAATTGGATTAATATTTTTTTTTCAGATAAGCTGGAGTTCCTTGTATATCCTGGTTACCAGTCCCTTATCTGAGTCAGTTTGCAAATATACTTTCCCATTTCAAGGGTTGCTGATTTATTCTAATTATTGTTTCTTTTGTTGTGCAGAAGCTTTTTAAATCAAAACCAGATGAGGTACCACTTAACCCCAGTAAGAATGGCTAAAATTAAAAAAATGAAAGTAAGATAAGTGCTGGTGAGGCTGTGGTGAAAAGGGAACTTTCCTACACTGTTGGTGGGAATGTAAATTAGTATAGTCACTGTGGAGAATAATATAGATGTTACTCAAAAACCTATAAATAAAACTAGTATATTATACAGCAATTTCATTTCTGGTATCTACCCAAGTGACAGGAAAATGCTCAGTCAGAAAAACACTTGCACATCCATGTTTGCTGTAGCATTTTTCACAATTGCTAAGACATTGAACCAATCTAATGTCTATGAACTGTTGAATGGATTGGAAAAGTATGGAACATATACACTATGGAATACTACTCAGCCATAAAAAATGAGACCACACTTTAGATAGATAAAAAGTGGACAAACATGGAAGATTTACTGCTAAGAGAAGCAAGCCAGAGTATGAAAGAGAGGCATTGTATGTCCCCAACTAATATATACCAAATGTTGGCATTGGATGGCAGAAACTGAATGATTGTAACTCACAAAAGCCTGGAGAGCAATGATGATACTGGAGACAGTGTGGGAGGAGGGTGGGAAGGGGGGGAATCATAGGAAAGATGAAAGAAGCAAAACATTTAAGGGACCCAAAATGGAAAGAAATCTCTTGATCATAATTTATATGGCAATGTCTTTGGACTGATATGCAGTGTATTAAGAATGGGAAAATGTATTTGCTATGCTATAGTGATACACAGTGATTGACTGTAAAAAATAAATATATAAAATTAAAAATTAGTTACTAGTTACAGAAGCGATGAACTAATGTGCTTTTCTTATAAAACATTCAATATTGAGGTTGAAATAGAAAATAATGTATGTCAATTCATAATTATACTTTTGATCACTGTTTAAAAAAATGAAAATGTGGGAGATAGAGAATTATGGCAGGAGTGGAAGAATCTTTGAATAGAATAATTTGGGAATTTTTCTCTGAGTAAATTAGAACTTAATCTGATCATGGGTTAAGACCTAGGACAGAAAGTTAAAGAGAAACAGAGGGCGACCAGCAGATAGTCTAGTGGTTACATTGCTAGACTCACATATGACTGCCCACAGTTTGAGTCCCAGACACAGTGGCTTTAAGCTCATGCCACCGGATGCATGTGTGTATGGGCCCAAGATCTTGGGAGGAGAAGGAATCACAGGGTGGTTATCTCCATTGGGGAATGATTTCTCACTTGTCTTAGTATAAACACCTAAGACAAAAACCTCTACAAAAAGATAGAGAGAGAGAGAGAGAAACAGAGGAACAGCCATATGAAGAAGAAGAGGACTCATCTTCAGAGAGAGATATGAACTGACATTGAAGTGAGAAAAAATTTTCATAGCTCGGGGGCAAATGGAAAAAAAAAATAATGGAGCTTACTCACATGAACATGAGGAACTCAGTAAGTATTTAGAGGGTCCAGTAGGTGATATGGTGTTTAAGGCAGGGGACTCACACATTACTGACCTTATTTTGAGTCCCAGACCTGATGGCTTGCTTTGTCTCTCTCTCCCTCTCTTTCTGTGGTGAGCACATGTGCCCTACAGCAAATTAAAAATAATAAACATTAATGAAATTAAATAATTAATTCTTTTTAAAAATGTTTGGAGAGATGGAGGCATTGGCAAGATGAAAAGGAATTTCTAGGACAAATCAAACGGTTCTAAGAGAATGAGAAACCAAGGAAGGGTAACAATGTGAAAGTATCATAATCTTCACATTATAAACACTTTGATCATAAAGCACATTAATATTTTTGAAGGTTCCTCTGATTGTCAGTGTAGAATGAAAAGCATTATTTCTAGCATATTTCTGAAATAATGACTTCTAAAGGAAAATACATCATATTCTCAGCAAGACAGTTACTTGGCAACTACAATCTTTTGTTTCATCCACAGTTTCTTCATGGCATAACTTATTATTTGATGGGATTATCACCAAGGGATACAACTGGCCCAGTATGACTAAGTCCTTATAGATTTGTTACCTGCTTCTTATTGTCTGTAACCTGGCAACCAATCTATGAAGTGTCGTGAAACACACATGTGTAATGTATCCTTGTACTATAAATAAAAAGACCCAGTTTTTCTGGGTGGCTCAAGCAGCTCAAGCAGTGGCTCAGCTGCAGCACAAGTTGCTTGGGCTACCTAGGTTCAGGCTGCCTGTGTCCATTTCTACTCTATCCCTTTGTCTCATTCTTTCCAATTCCCTGGTCCTGGCAAGATGGAGGGCTTTCTCTTTCTCGTCCTCTTTCTCTTCCTCACCAGCAGCCCCCTGATCATGATTCAGCCAGACCCAAGCCCCGGAGCGGATGCCAACAGTTATTTATTTATTTTTTTTAATTCACTGATAGAAACAGGAGTAATATTTCATATATTTCAGTTCTTGTTCTTTGGAAATCATGAGTCCAGCAGTCTCAACCTCTCAAGGACATCAGACCTTTAATATCATTAACATTCCCCATAGGTCAAGCCTTTAGTGCAAAGGCATCAAGAAAAGAGCATTGTGGGGAAAAAATTATTACAAGTTTAACATGTTTATTGCAGTATTCTAAATTCAATTAAATGTTAGCTCCCTGTGCTTTTGAATAGCAGAACAGATGGGAGTATATTTTCAATTCTGGGTATGTAGATTTTAACTCAGAGCTCTTATGGTGTAAAAACATTGACAAGCATCTAAGTTCTCAGACATAGGTATTGAGTCTATAAAAATTACCAGAGGAGTTTGTTAAATATAGCCTTTTGTATATCTCTTAACCATGGCCTATCTCATTAGAACTTTTTGGAATATACTCTATTATCTGTCACAAAACTTTCAAAGTGATTCTAATAAACAGTCAAGGTAGAAAAATGTTGACCTAGTTCTCATTTTAAAATTAAGTATAATAGAAATGCAGAGAGATCCAGTGAGTATATATCTCTAAATTGGGACGATAAGCTTGCATTTGTGTAGTTCCAGGGCAGTGCTTATAATTTGATTGTATTGGGCTGCTGGGAATGTCATGATGCATTTTTTTTTTTTGGAGAGATTTCCACTGTAGGGCACGTGTGCTCGCCAGACAGACAGAGAGAGACATAGAGACAGAAAGCGAGAAATCACCCCCCAGGGGGGATGGTCATGCCGCAATCCCTTCTCCTCCATTCTCCTCTCGGGATCTTGGGCACGCACGCACACGCGTCCGGCGTGAGTTTTTAAGCCACCGGGTCCGGGACACGAACCGCAGTCGACTATGTGGGAGTACAGCGACATAGCCATTACGCTAACTGCTGGTTCCCTCATGATGCATTTTTGCATAGAAAAATATGCCATAACTTTCCAGTAAACCTAATAACATCTAGTCCAAATGCCTTGTGGCTTTTTAATCTTTTTATCTTTCATTTCAAGGATGCATCAACATCAAATATCATTTTGCCAGCACCATGTAAAGTTCTTCCATTAATAATGTTTATACAAATCCTTACAACTATAAACACAAATCCAGATATAGGCAATAACTTGAATAATCATATTTGTGGGAAAAACACTGAAACAATAGCAGAGAGACAACCAGTGATATGTTCATATACTATAAAAGATAAAATTCAGATGGTGTCTCACAGTGAAGGAGAAAGGCACCTTGAGGGCAAGGATCAGTTACATCAGAAAGGAATGTTTTTCCAGATGAGTTTCTCTGGAGTCCCCAGGTCGAAATGGGTTTGGTAAGTCAGACCTATGGTACACGGCTCTCTCTATTCAGTGAAGTTGTTTGGATCAAATTTTGTAAAAAAATTTAGTTTCCCAGCCATGCATTTCAGCAAATCATATCTATGTTGTTGATGTCCCCAGTAACATAACCTACCCATGTCCCCAAATACATCACAGTGGGGTTTTTATTCATTCATTTTCTTTACTTTTTCTTGTTAGTAATTTTACATTAATAGCAAGTACTGGTTTCAGAAAAGTAGAGTCATTTAACAGAAGCATATTAGCAGATATTATGATGGAAAGTGGAAAAACTTAGAGGTAAATCGGCCCGCTCCCTTTATTGCTTGGTAAAGAAAGTCTCAGCCAGACAATGCAAATGCACTTTCACAAGACCTGAGGATGAACACAAATCTTGCATCTTCTTAGGATGTCTAATCTCTTTCACATTCTGTACACCTCTTTCCTGCCATTCCAAGCTAATTCATTTAGTTTACATTGTGCTTTGTAGAACTTATATCAGAATGCACTAGCTAAGGTCTCTTGATTTTTAATATATATTCTTTCAACCATTTAATCTATAGATATTTAATACTTAATACTACAACACAGCTGACTCATTATTTAAAGAAAATGGCAAAAAAAGTAAAAGAGAAAGGAGAAAAACAATGATACTAAGTATAATTATATTGATATTCTTAGTAAGATTTATCTGTTATAGGTAGTTCATAGATATAAACGACACTGATAAGTGAACATTTAACTTAGTAGAATGTTTTCTTTCATGCTTTCTCCCTAAAATCCTTTGGGATTTCTGTATTTGTCTTCATTTCACTATCGAGTTAGCCAAGGTTGAGAATATTTGACATCATCCAGATTAAATGATTGCTTCCATCTATTTCCCATTTGCCTCCAAGAAAACCTTTCTGAACCACAGTCTCTTCATTGCTTTCTTTACTTCTGCATTTCTCAAGGTATAAATCAGAGGATTTAACATAGGAGTAATGATGGTGTAAAATATAGCCACCATCTTATCTTCTGAAAAGGTAGTGTCAGGTCGCATGTACATAAAAGTACAAGGACCAAAAAACATGATGACCACAGCAATGTGGGAGCAACAGGTGTAGAGAGCTTTTCTCCTACCTTCTGCAGACTGCTTTCTCAGAGAAACCAGAATAATGGTATAGGAGATAAGCAAGATAACAAAGCTCCCCAGGGCAATGGTACCACTGTTGGCTGTCACCACAACACCAACAATATATGTGTCCGTGCAGGCAAGTTTCAGGACAGGATGGACATCACAAAAGTAGTGATCAATCTCATTTGGTCCACAAAAGGGTAGTTGGACTACCAGAGCCACTTGGATAATGGAGTGTAAGAACCCTCCTACCCAGGTCCCCAGTAACATTTTATTGCATCTCTCCCAGTCCATGATGGTCATATAATGTAGGGGCTTACAGATAGCCACATAACGATCATAGGCCATTACAGTAAGGATGAAGCTCTCAGTGCAACCAAAAAAATGTACCCCAAAGAGTTGCAGCATGCACCCCACATAGGAGATAGTTTTATTTTTTGCTAACAGATCAACAATCATCTTAGGAGCTGTGACTGAAGAGTGACAAATATCCACAAAAGACAAGTAGTTGAGAAAGAAATACATAGGAGACTTGAAGAGGTTGCCTTGGGAAACTATCAGTATGATGAGAAGATTTCCTAAAATAATGACTGTGTAGAAGAAAGAAAACACCACAAAACAAACTTCTTCAACCTCTGGGTTCTGAGAAAGTCCCAAGAAAATGAACTGAGTTACATTGTTTATTTTTTCCATGGGATGAATCCACGGAGACACAGTTCTCAAGAGACAATTAAATTTCCTGAAAGAAATGTAAGAAAGACTAATAGCATTTATTTACAACTTAGAACCAGTGGATAATCACAGTAGTTGACAATGGAAAAAATGGTATTTGGCATTCATACATTTTGACCATCTTACCTCAGTATTATATCCCATTCACTTCAGATGAGGAAACTAAGTTCAATGAAATAAAGCTGATATTCCAAGTCTCACACGTTACTAAGTGTCTCTCCTCCCTTACCGTTTATTAAAGTTTATTCATCTGTATCTGAAATGTACTTAGCACTTATTTTGTATAAAGCATTCCACTTAATTTTGCAACAACTTCTGTGTTTGTGGATATGATAACATTTATATACCTGGAAATGGTTGCTTTATTTTTGATCCAGCAGTGACTGTTGACATTTTACCTTCTAAGTTACTGCCAAGACTGATCACCACATCACATCCCATTTTTTTCATGGGTACTCAAGGAATGGAGACTAGGCAACATCTGCAAGTTCTTCTTACAAAACACAGATCTTTGTGTGCATGAATTTATGGTCCCTACTTAATCTCAAGCTAGTATGTATTCAAGATGCAATGTGGTATACTAGACAGAGGATCCAAATGATACAAACCTCATTCTGAAAGATTACTGTTGCAATTCTGTGTAAATTATTTAGCTTCATGGAATCTCCCTTATCTTATTTGTGAAACAAGGTTTAATTTTTCTATGTATGAACAGTTACTTGTACCATAAACTTAAATTACTTCTATCAGTTGGAATAGCCATATTCCATACTCTGATAGTGAAGAAGAGATAAGAGAATATGCAAGAGACTGTGAGATACAATTAAAGAACTGTTGGATTTGAAATCAGGGGAAATGATTATTCTGGTAATTATTCCACATTCAAATTCAGAATACTTTAATATCCCTATTGTTTAGCCCCTATATTTCAATTTATATTATTTTGTTCATTTATGGGTTTTTGGATCAAGGAGCCAGATGGAGGTATAGCTGTAAAATGTCATGCTCTGTGAAGCAGTTCAACACAGGAAAATTCACGTTCAAGTATTCAAGTCTGGAGATTTCCTTGAGTACAGTAGAATGGTGCTTGTCCATAATATGGTGCTGGATGAAGACTAAGTGTGGATCAGGGCATCAAGATCCTATTGGAGAGGGAACCAGCAGTTAGCGTAATGGCTATGTTGCTGGACTCCCACGTAGTGGACCACGGTTCACGTCCCGGACCCGGTGGCTTAAAACTCACGCCGGGCACGTGTGCGTGCGTGCCCAAGATCCTGAGAAGAGAATGGAGGAGAAGGGATTGTGGTGTGGTCATCCCCTCTGGGGGGTGATTTCTCGCTTTCTGTCTCTCTTTCTCTCTCTGTCTGTCTGGTGAGCACATGCGCCCTATAGCGAAAATCTTTCAAAAAAAAAAAAAAGAAAGAAAGAAAGATCCTATTGGAGATGTGGCTTCTCTTTCTCTCTCTCTTTCTCCCCCCCACCCCACCCCACCCCACACTGTCACTCTTGTCCATGGAAGAAAGAAATGAATAAACTTAAATAAATTTTGCCTCTAAATAAAATTTAAGTCCACTTTTCCATTAACATTTTGAAGCGCTTGCTACTGGGTCTTTCAGTTTGAGTAAATTCACTATTTCTAGGAAGACATAATTAACTGAACTATCATTTGAATGTAGTTAGAAAGAACAATATTTAAATGGATGAATCTTTTCTTTTTTTTTTTTTTTTTTGCCATAGGGCTCGTGACCTCACCAGGCAGAAAGAGAGAGACAGAGAGACAGAGAGTGAGAAGTCACCCCCCAGGGGGGATGGCCACGCTGCAATCCCTTCTCTTCCATTTTCCTCTTGGGATCTTGGGCACGCAGCGTGCGACATGAGTTTTAAGCCACCGGGTCCAGGACGCTAACCGTGGTCAACTATGTGGGAGTCCAGTGACATAGCCATTACACTAACTGCTGGTTCCCACCCCCTCCTTTTTTCTTTTGAGAGGTTTTTGCTATAGGGTGTGTGCGCTCACCAGAAAGGCAGAGAGAGAGAGAGAGATAGAAAGTGAGAAATCCCGGCCCAGAGGGGATAATCACGCCACAATCCTTTCTCCTCCATTCTCCTCTTGGGATTTTGGGCATGCACTCACATGTGCCCAGCGTGAATTTAAGACACTGGGTCCAGGACTCGAACCACGTTCAACTACATGGGAGTTCAGCAACATAGCCATTATGCTAACTGCTGGTCCCTTAATGTATGAATCTTCAATGGAGGAATTTCAGGCAGTTCAATAGGCTCTCTGGCATGCTTATTGAAAGGGATATATGAAATCATTTTGATTAAGGGTAACTTCAGGGCTCTTCCTCCAATCAAATCAAGATTAACTAATTCTTCAAGTTATAAGTTGTCCACCTGAGACTACATCCCTTCAAGATCCATCCAGTGTAGTGCTAAATTCTGGTCTCAACTTCCCTATGCAACAACATCGTGCCAGCACTTCTAGCTGCTGGGAAACTACAGGGCTATGTTTCTTCAGGTCTGTAAATTGGAATTGGTAGAGCGTTCATTACAGGTGTGCCTTTCGTATGCATTGAGAAATAATAAGAGCAATAATATAATTCAAATACAGATTCAAGCACACTCCATTTTGATAGACCATCTCTCTTCAGTTTTCCTACTGAATTTAAAACACACAAAAATTTATTTTCCACTATTAAATCCCTTCGATTTAAGGGAGCTAGAATCTCAGCAGTTTAACCTGGGTATTTTTATAGCTGTCCTATAAATTAGGCATGTACATGGAAGTCTGGAAACTGTTCCCTCCCTTTTCATACCACAAAGTCCTTGGAAAGACCTTTCTCCTTCAACCATGACTTATCTCAAGGGTTCCTTCCTCCCTTTGCTGAGCATTTCAAACATAATACTGCCTCAATTTCTTTTGAAATGATTGGGAATTATTTTTTATTCACATACATACTATCCTATCCCACAGCCATTTATAGAAACATGTTATTATCTTATCATCATTTTAATAATAATTTCATTTCCCCATTACTTCAGAGAACAATGCCTTAGAGCCACATTGGAAGTGCTAAAAATATATCAATTTAATTTAATCCCCCTTTTTAACAACTCTCCCATATTAATTTTAGAGGAAAAAGAAATCTCACCGGTATTTTCCACGGTTTGGTTTGGTTTATTTTTCTTTCTCTTGAGATAGTTTGAGTGCAGCTGTCCAAAGTAAAACAAGAACAATGCTTGTGACATTTATCTGTGAATAATTAGTACCAGAGAATTCCTAACTCCCTACACTCAAAAACTATAATAGAAATCAGTCTTTGTTGTTCCTGGATCGCTTACCTGATGAAATCTGTAATTTCACTGTACCTGTGGCAATAAATAAGCATTTCTCTACTCTTATATGGGCTATTTAAAAGAATGAGGCAGAATGATAATGACCTTGGGGAAAGCTTTATTCCCCTACGTTTTTATTGATAGTCAAAATCAAATTGAAGGACTAAATATGAGTCTTAATTTGTGTATGTCCACTTACAAATAAGTGAAAGGAGAAGGAATTGTGGCACTGCCTTCCCACCCAGGGGGTGATTTCTCATTTTCCTACTCTTTTTTTCTGTCTCTTTCAAGAACACATGCCCTATAGCCAAAACTAAAATAACATAATAATGTTGGCTAATTTAAAAATCCAATCAGTTCTCAAATTTAGAACCATACTCTGATCCAAATAATTGAAAAAAAAAAGACAAAAGTAATCATTTTATCATTGTATACATTGTTCTTTGAGTTAATGTGCTTTTATATTCAGTTGTTGGAAAAGTCATGATTTGTTTTTCCATAGAAAAACAGAAAGATACGTCACAACTTTTCCAATGTCCCAATATAGTCATTAAATAACACATATTTAATACAATACTTGGTTTTATGTTATTTACTCAATTTTAATTGTTCCAGTCTTTTGAAGATTCTATTTGTCAGAAAAAGAATGAATTAAATTGAACTTTGGTATTAATTGAACCTATGCTGATTTCTTGAGCAAAAGGAAAGACGAGGTTCATTTCTGAGCTATACTTTGAATGAGTTGTGATTTTGGCTTTAATTCTTTTATTTTTTTGAGCATAAATTACTAACACTGAATTTTCCCTTTGCTTTCTCTTTCCTATTCAAATTATTTCCTTTTTACTCATATTAGTTTTTGTATTTTCCCTTTCTACTCTTATGTCACCTTGCTCTTTCATACAACACCCAAAACATCAAGGAAATATCACTATCTCGGGTTAACAGAAAAAAATAAGTAAAATGTAAAGTGCGGAAAGCAAGGCAGAAATTGTGATCAGGTTTGTAAAAAAATACTCAACACGATTAAATTAATATGTTAGTTTCTTATTCTGTTGTAACAAATTTCCACAAACTTAGTATCTTAAACCAATACAAATATAATGTCTGACATTTTTGGTTGTCAGAAGACCAAAGTTGGTCCCACTGTGCTATACTCAAGGCACTGGAGGGATGAATCCTTCTAAAGACTTTAGGAGAAAATCAATATTCCAAATTCTGTTTTCTAGAGGCTCTGTGCTTTCTGTGGCCTCTTCCTCCATACAGCTAAGGACATCATAATTAGTGTAAATTGACAACCCTTGGAATAGTAGAGAATTTTTGTCAACTGTGCCTCACATAAGGGACTAATAACAAGAATACACAGGGAACTCAAGTGGCTTACCTGGAAGAAAAAGATTAAGCCAATTAAAAGATGGGAAAATGAGTTGAATCAACAACTCTCTAAGGAAGACATATGAACAGAAAAAAAAAAGCATATGAAGAAATGCTCAACAACCCTCATCATAAAACAGATGCAGATAAAAACTACAATGAGATGATACCTAACCCCTGTCATAATGGCAAAGATTAAAAAAAAAATTATAAATGCTGGAGAGGATTTAGTGAAAGGGGTAACATTCCTA